CCTCAGCCAGACACACTGGCTGAGGAATTCTGGGAGTTGAAGTCCACAAGTCATAAAAGGGCCCTGAACTAATGGTTCTTATTGAAAGAACAAACGGGGCGAGTCTGCCCAAGTATGACACATAACCTTTCCCAAACCATTCCAGACACAGCAATGGCAGGCAACTCTCACCCAGCCCGTTGCTTGGAAGGCCCCGTGCTGGGGCAATGCTCCAAGAAGTCCCTTCAAGGGCATAGCTCTACATCACCGGACACTTGACCGAGGCTTAAATTAGCAACGAAGGACCCTCCTATCATATTTTTTTTTTTTTAGTTACCGAATTTATAGAGCCGCCCATCTCACAAGAAGTGGCTCTGGGTGGGGTAGAGCAAAAACAATAAAAGTAGTCCTCAACCTGTAATGGTAAGGGAGCTTGCCCGTTATGGTCTATTCTCCAAAGCACCTGAAGGCAGACAAGAAGCAATGGATGGAAACTAATCAAGGAGAGTAGCAACCTAGAACTAAGGAGAAATTTCATCAGAGTTAGAACAATTAACCAGTGGAACAACCTGCCTCCAGAAGCGGTGAATGCTCCAACACTGGAAGTTTTTAAGAAGAGACTGGACAGCCACTTGTCTGAAATGGTGTAGGGTTTCTGCCTGAGCAGGGGGTTGGACTAGATGACCTCCAAGGTCCCTTCCAACTGTCATTCTATTCTATTCTACTCTATATTCTATTCTTCATCACCATGGCAATTTCACGATCTTTTTTGCAGTAGTAAAAAGCAAAGCCAATCATTAAGTGAACTAATCATTCACTATCAACGTTGTTTTGCCGAAGAGTGAAAGTACGTTGCTGGTTTTCGGCAAAACCGTCTTAAAAGACGGTCATGTAATGGGAAGATGTTGCGAATGGCCATAAAGGCTGGTTGCACCCAAAGTTAAATCACTTGTCGGAAATGACCACTGGAAATGTGTATCCGGGTGATAAGTCTCCTTTTTTAGGTCAGTACTAACTTCAAACTTTCACTAAGACACAGTTCATAAGTTGAGCGCTACCTGTAAAGATGCCAAACCCAGTCTTTTTTTTTTTTTAAAGGTCCATACAAGAGATTCCATCAGCAATGGAGCCACCCAAGGTCTCACTGTCCCCTGACATCACCAAGCTTGAGGACACAGCCATGTCTTGAGGAACTTCCAGAAAAGAAGGTAGGATGGAGCTAACTGACCTCACTTCAGGGGGAAGAATGTTCCATAAGGCAGGTACCACGACAGAGAAGGCTCACCTCCTTGGCCCTGCCAAGTGTAAACCCCTGAGAGATGGGACCCACAGCATTACCAGATCCACTTGGAATTCAAGATACAATCATCTTTCCCCAATAGGCGAGGGGCAGACATATTTGCTTTCCCAGCTGACTTTCTGCAGGTTCCAGACTTTTGCAGATCTTCCATGCGGTTCCGTCTAGCCCCACAACTTCAGCCACCAAGTCAGGTTTGGACAGAAAAGTCCAAGGAGAGCATTGTTTTGTTTACACCACACAAGTAAGGAAAACCACAGCTTTTTTTTTCTCTTGCTCGTCCTGAAACATCTGCATAGACTGGGACCCCACCTGGTGCTAAGCCATGGCTGGTTGAATGATGGCTTGTGGAATTGGCTAGATGAGCTGAACAGGCCAAACCATCCACTCTGCTTCATTATAAGGGTCGCAACCTACAGCATGTTGACCAAGGCTTAAGACCAGGATGTACTGTGGCTCAGCGTGTGGTGGGAGCCTTACTGGGGCGTTCTCCAAGAGCTGAGAAATCTACAGGGATGCTGGAATATTGGGGGCTTGACCAGTATGTCAGTTGTCTTAGATCAGGTTCTCCTTGCCTGGTCCTTTCCAGGTGCGTTGGCCTTCCTGTCCTACAATTATATCCAGAAAAACATCTGAAGGAAAACTCATCTGAAAGACAGCAGGCTGGAGAAAAGAGGATCAAGATGGATAAACCTACTTCTTGCTTGAAAGATTTTCACACCTTCGTGGCCCTGTTGGCAGCCTCTCTTGGTGGCCTCACTTGTGACCTCTTTGCATTTCCTTGCAATCTAGCTCAACAAGCTTCCTTACCCAGATATCTTCCTGAGATTTTTTTCCTACGCCTTCCACCTACAATTACCCATTCCAGGAGTCATGAGACGTATCCTTCCTTCCTTGCTCCAGCTTAGGAGCTCTCTTCTTTGAAAGAACCAACCAACACCCCCAAATAAATACAATGCAGACCCACTTGAGCTGGCTGGCTTCTAGGCATGTTGTAGGGGACTCAGAACTCCCTCCTTCTCTTCTTAACCCATCAGCCTGGAGAAGCCTTGGCCCCACTCGATGGAAATTAAGGGGGTTATAGTCTGAACCATAAGAAAGGCTGAGCGCCAAAGAATGGAGGCCTTTGAACTATGGTGCTGGAGAAGACTCCTGCGAGTCCCCTGGACGGCAAGGCAATCCAACCGGTCAGTCCTAGAGGAGATCAACCCCAACTGCTCTTTAGAAGGCCAGATCCTGAAGTTGAAACTCAAGTACTTTGGTCACCTAATGAGAAGGAAGGACTCACTGGAGAAGAGCCTAAGGCTGGGAAAGATGGAGGGCAAGAGAAGAAGGGGACGACAGAGAATGAGATGGCTGGATGGTGTGAGCTTAAATGGGCTCCAGAAGATGGTTTAAAGGACAGGAAGGCCTGGAGGAACATTGTCCATGGGGTCGCGATGGGTTGGACACAACTTCGCAACTAAAGTCAGAACAGGAGGGAGTTGCATTGAGGAGGCTGCTGTGGATTATGGGTCTTTTACCACTCACTCCCTGGTCACAACAGTCAAGGTCAGGCATCCAATGGTTTACTAACTCAAAGGAACAAACCTTGCCTTAATAGCCCTCATTACTCCAATGAGAGGAATTATGTCATGTCATTTGCACCGTGACATCATGAACACGGAGGACATCCTCTGACTTCTCATAAACGGCAACCATTCCCTGTACAGACGGGATGAATAATTTGAGGGGAGGAAACGCTAGTCGAATCCTTCGGTGTTTGCAGAACGTTATGTACAGCGTATTGTTATGCGCATAATAAATTGATCTATGACCTAACTGAAGGAGCCAGGTCTACGCAACCTACTGTATCAAACCACACCAAAACCGCCCAAGGCTGAAATTAAACTCTGCACGTTGCACACACACACTAGATTTGCAACTGACCTAATTAAGAGTGTTGTGTGGATACATCCTGCCCTTCTTTTTTCATTATCTGAATCTCAATCCAATCCCTCTTATTTTATTCCCTCTTTTTCTTCAAACAACCGTGGGAGTTTCACCCCAACTTATGTACTCGAGAAGGCAATGTCATGCACGAGCCCCGGTTAAAACCCAAGAAAGCAGGGGGCCAATTTTGAGAGGCCCCATCTTTGTGGAGGAATGCAGAAGTTGCTTCTTCGAAAGAAATGGCAGAACTAGCGCAGAGAATCCTAAGATTCAAATGACCAGCCTATCTTGAAGTATCACTCAAGACAAAGAGTGCCCCACCCAACATTCCCTAAAAGGGATTTTTCAAAGTTATCTCATGCCTAAATATCATGCCTGGTGATTTTAGCAACAGGGGTTGTGGGAGATTTTCCCAACAGGGAGAAAAAAGCACTGAACAACATTGAGCAAGTGATCATATACCCCTCTATACACCTATATCAAGCATATTTAGGAAAGAGAAGAAAAATATGGTCTACAATTCTGGCGGATGGGAGTCTTAATAACATTCCTGGCGGTGCCAGACTACAAATAGGCCAGCTTGAAGATGGGCGGACTTCAAGTCCCAGAATTCCCCAGCCAGGGACTTCAACTCCCAGAATTCCCCAGGCAGCAAGGCTGGCTAGGGAATTCTGGGAGTTGAAGTCCACCCATCTTCAAGCTGCCACACTGGAGAAACACAATATTTTTGGAGAACCAGGCCAAGAATCAGGATTTGTAGAGGCAAAGTTCAGAATAAGGGACAGGCCCAGCGGGTCAAAAAGAGGTGGTGGGGGGAAGAGACACACGGTTTGGGTGGTGGATTAAGAGAGCCTTCATCCATCCGTGCAGAGGTGGGCCTCAACTTTCGTTGCCCTTTGTGCAGCAGGGAGACTGGACTGCGGGCAGGCGGCAAGCCCCCTCCCCTCTCTTCCCTTCCCCTCCATCCCCTTCTTCCCAGGAAGGCCAAGCCCAACCCTTTTTTGCAGAGCCCATTCAAGACCAGGCCCAGCCTCAGCAGAACTTGGGGGCAGCAACTGTCCCCATGAGGGAGGGAGGGAGGGAGGGGCTCTCCCCCACCCACCCACCCAAGGTCAGAAAGAAAGCAGGCAGGTGGTCTCTCCTTCAGTCCTCCAGCAGCTGTCGGGAAGATGCCACTTCTGGGTTGGGGAGGAAGTGGGATGGTTATTTATAAGCCCCCCAATCCAGGGCAGCCTCCCTCCCTCCCTCCCCCCTCCCCTTTCTCCATGCTGGATCTGGGATCCTGGAAAGGAGTTTGGGGGGGGTGATGGGGGGGGCTGCTTTATCTGTGGCCTTCCTAGTAAACGGCCTAAGGGAGGGAGAGCTGTCCCGGCTCCAAAAATCACCAAAGGCAGTTTAAAAAAAACGGGCTCCACGTCCTTCTCCCCACCCGCGTGACTCAGTTTCCCCCCCAATACACACACACACACATACACGCGCGCGCGCCGGTCCGGCAAAGAAATCTCCACTCCCCGTCGCGCCCCTCCCTTGCCAGCAGCGGCAGACGGCCCGTGGGCAAGGGGGAAGGGGCGGGCGAGGTCCCGCTCTGCGGACCCCTCCCCATAGCCTCTTCTCCGCCCGTGGCCGCGCAGATCCAGCCAAAATCTTTCTCTCCCCCCCCCCCCACAACCCCTGTCCTTCCTCACCCCTCCCTCTCTTTCTCTCTCTCTCTCTCTCTCCCCCCCCCCTCAAATCATTTGCAACAGCAGCATCTTCTCCCAAGCGGGACTTGGTCGCCCTCGCAAATCTTTACCTCCGCGATCGCCGGGCTGCTGCTGCTCTCCGCCGCCGGGGGCCTCGGGCTGCTCGGCGCGGTTCTCCATCCTGGATCGTGGGTGGGACGGACGGACGGGGGGGGGGGTGGGAGGAGGAAGAGGAAGGGGGCGGATAAGGGTGGGGACCCGGCCTCGCGTTTCCCCCTCGCTCGGGTCTGGTGGAGGCTGTCCTCCCGCGATCCTCTCGCTTTCCGATCCGGGACTGGAATCAAATCAGGGACGATCTTTTCTCCAATGCGGGGCGGGGGAGGGGGGGCGGTAAGGCGGGAGGAGGAGGAGGAAGACCTTGCAAAGAATTCAGACGATCCTCCAGCCTCGCTCTTCCTCTTTTTTTTTTTTATATCGCGGGCGGCTTTGGGCGCAGAGGAAGCGGAGGACTTGGCCCAAAGCGGGGGGCGGGGAGCACAAAGCCGGCAATGTTAGGGAGGGATCCCCCCCCCTCCGGGGAGAGAAAAAAAATCCTTTGTGCAGGATCTTTCCACCCACCCACCCACCATCCAATATTGCTGGATCGGGAAGTAGGGGGAGATAGGGGGGGGTCCCTAACCCAGAAGGCTGGAAGTAAAGATATATATATATATATATATTTAAAAGCAAAAGAAAAAAACGGGGGAGGGGGCACCCAGCATAAATCCAGCCCCGCTCCGCCACCAGCAGCAGCTGATTCTGCAAAATGACCAGAGCGAGAATCTCAACTATTGTACATCCTCCGTCTGGCCTCTGGAAACTGGGCGCTACCAACCGCCGGGAACGCAGAAGCGGGGGGAGCCCTGCTTCCCCTAACCGGTCCCTTTCGGGTCATCGACCCACGCCCGCTTCCCACGAGTTGCCCGTGGAGGTCGGCAAGAGGATATTCCGCGCTGCCGGGTGCTCCGGGTGGAAGGGAGGAAAGGAGGAAAAGCTCTCTCGCGCTGGCCACGCGGCACCCCCCCTGGGTCGCCGCCGCCTCTTGGTCGCGCCCGGGAGAGTGTTGAGACCGTGTTGGGAAAGTTCAGATTGGATTCCTCGCCCAGCAGCTGAAAGAGTGACTCATTTCGCAAGGGGGGGGGAAGGAGGGCCGGGATGAGGTGGGAGGGGGGATTTCCAAGGCTAGACGAAGGAAGTGGCAAGGGGGGGGGGGGGGAGAGCGAAGGCATCCACGATTTCATGTATATTCATCAACCCCAGGCGGAAAGTCTGCTGGTCTCCAGAGCTACAGGTGATCCTGGCGTTGGAATAGGTTTGTTGTTTCAATGTATTTGCTTCCTTTCCACCTTCAAGATAACATTTTTCATATTTGCCTGGCTGGAGTTCAGCAGCTGGACAGGAAGTTGTGCCAACAATGGCTAGGGCAGGGGTAGGCAACCTTGGCTCTTTTATGATTTGTGGACTTCAACTCCCAGAATTCCTGAGCCAGCATGGGAGAATCTATGGCCCCTTCATGACTCGTGGACTTCAACTCCCAGAATTCCTGAGCCAGCGTGGGGAAACTATGGCCCTTTCATGACTCATGGACTTCAATTCCCAGAATTCCTGAGCCAGCGTGGGGGAACTATGGCCCCTTCATGACTCATGGACTTCAATTCCCAGAATTCCTGAGCCAGCGTGGGGAAACTATGGCCCCTTCATGACTCATGGACTTCAACTCCCAGAATTCCTGAGCCAGCGTGGGGAAACTATGGCCCCTTCATGACTCATGGACTTCAATTCCCAGAATTCCTGAGCCAGCATGGGGGAACTATGGCCCCTTCATGACTCATAGACTTCAATTCCCAGAATTCCTGAGCCAGCATGGGGGAACTATGGCCCCTTCATGACTCGTGGACTTCAACTCCCAGAATTCCTGTGCCAGCATGGCTCAGCTTGGAAACCTCTCCCTTTCCCCTCAGCATGGCTGGCTCGGGAATTCTGGGAGTTGAAGTCCACAAGTCATAAAAGAGCCAAGGTTGCCCACCCCTGGTCTAGGGTAGTGGTGGTGAACCTATGGCACGGGTGCCAGAGGCGGCACGCAGAGCCCTCTCTGCGGGCACGCGCACCGTCGCCCCAGTCCTAGGCCTTCAGCTGGGTTTTATAAAACCTTTTTGCTTTAGGCCTCCACCACCGTGTGCAAAAAAAAAAAAAAAAGGTTCAATCAGTCCATTTCAACTTCTCATGGGAAAAAAAAAGATCTTGCAAAGTTGGAATTGATTGATTGAACTTTTTAGTCCCACCCAGTCTGCCGTTACCACTGCAGCCACGCCCACCCACTGGGCCACACCCACCCAATGGGCCACACCCACCCAGTACCCTACGATGCTTAAGTGGGTTTTGGGTTGCAGTTTGGGCACTCGGTCTCTAAAAGGTTCGCCATCACTGGTCTAGGGTAAAACACCGATGGGTATCTTTTGAAAACCCTAGAGCAATGCAGAATATCCTATCAGGGTCAGAAGAAGGCTAGGAAATGGGAGCTTTCCTGTATATTTTATGATTATCTATGAGGGTTTACATTTCATGCACAACAATGGAAACCATTAGTAACCGAAAGATAAGAATAAAATGGATGATGCTGGAGGAGATTAAGTCCCAAACCCAGCTCCAAGTCTTTCTAAGTGGGGAGCAGGGCTGCTAGCAGAGACAGTAACAAAATCTCTGCAATAGGATTACAAGACCCATCCCTCCGACAAAGGAGCTGGGATGAGTGGGGGTGAGTCAAGAGTATTATTTGCAACAGTCAAAGCCAAGAAAGGAAATTAAACACTAGATGTTAATTAGAAAAATGAGGTTATTAAAACTTAAATATACTTTTTTAATTAGAGAGAGGGAGGGGAAGGGAAGGGAAAGAGAAAGAAAGAAAGAAAGAAAGAAAGAAAGAAAGAAAGAAAGAAAGAAAGAAAGAGAAAGAAAGAAAGAAAGAAAGAAAGAAAGAAAGAAAGAAAGAAAGAAAGAAAGAAAGAAAGAAAGAAAAAGAAAGGAGGGAAAGAAAAAAGGAAGGAAGCTGGCAGGCATTTTAAAAATGCTCCATCTATATTACTCAGATTATTTTGATTGCATCCCATCAACAATGATGATGGTTTTGGCCTATGGAGCAGATGTTGTTCCCTGACTTGACTCACACGCCCTCAAGGCCTTGGGCATCTTACTTCTGCTCCATGAAGTCCTGCAGTTGAAAGTAATAATAATAATAATAGTAAAGTTGGAAGGGACCTTGGAGGTCATCTAGTCCAACCCCCTGCTCGGGCAGGAAACCCTACACCATTTCGGACAAGTGGCTGTCCAGTCTCTTCTTAAAAACTTCCAGTGTTGGAGCATTTACTGCTTCTGGAGGCAGGTGGTTCCACTGGTTAATTGTTCTAACTGTCAGGAAGTTTCTCCTTCATTCTAAGTTGCTTCTCTCCTTGATTAGTTTCCATCCGTTGCTTCTTTTCCTGCCTTCAGGCGCTTTGGAAAATAGCTTAATTCCCTCTTCTTTGGGGCAGCCCCTGAGATATTGGAAGACTGCTATCATGTCCCCCCTCGTCCTTCTCTTCGTTAAACTAGACATACCCAATTCCAGCAGCCGTTCCTTATAGGTTTTAGCCTCCAGTCCCCTGATCATCTTTGTTGCTCTTCTCTGCACTCTTTCTAGAGTCTCAGCATCTTTTTTACATCGTGGTGACCAAAACTGGATGCAGGATTCCAAGTGTGGCCTTACCAAGGCATTGAAGAGGGGTATTAATACTTCGCGTGAAAATCAGTACTATTATTTTCATTTTTCAATAGAGACCAGACGTTGAGAAAACAGGAACTTGTAGAAGGCCCATCTAAAACAAGAGCCTTCGGATTTAGGATATTTCCGCTTTCAATTAATTCTTTTTTAAACTAAAATCCTTCAGCCCACCCATAGAACGCAATGCAGAATAATGCATGAGTTCAGAATCAGGTTGAAAACGGTGGTTCAGGTTGGGAATATCTATGTTTATAAACAAATTTATACACAAGGCGCTAGGGATCAATGATATAGTCATTTAGCTAATGTGGTAGGATACAGTCAAGAGTCCCAGGAGGGAGGGGCTGCTTCCCAGAGGGCAAAGAGACAGCTGAGCTTGGAATGTCTGGCGAGTAGAAAGAGAACAAGGTCGGATTCTCCCCAGCAATTCAGAGTATATCTATAGTTATAGCAAATAATTGCTTTAATCTGGCAAGATTCTGTTTGTAGGCGAACAATAAAGGAACTACTTCCTGGTTCTTTGGACCTAAAAACCAGTGTTTCTCAACCTCAGCAACTTTAAAAAGCATGGATTTCAGCTCCCAGAATTCTGCAGTCAGCATGGGCAACCTCTTCTTTTTTTGATATCGCAGGACAGGGTGGAGGCAATTCTGTGTGAAGTGTGCACGAGGGACGTCACAGTTTAGATCAATGTTTCTCAACCTTGGCCTGGTGACCGGGGAAATCTGGAAGTTGAAATTGACACATCTTAAAGTTGCTAAGGTTGAGAAAAACTAATCCCATTGTTCAAAGCCCCCCACTTAGTAGTCATTTTCTAGAGCACTTCAACTCCCAGAATTCTCCCACACTTAACTTTCTAGATTGTTTTGGTCACCATGATATAAAAAACATGTTGAGACTCTAAAACAGTGGTTCCCAACCTTTTTAATGCCGCGACCCCCAACCGGTCGTAAGTCGAGGACTACTCAACCGGCCGTAAGTCGAGGACTACTCAACTGGTGCAGCACCGTTTGCAGAATGGGACTTTTGGCGGTCTCAGCAGGGCAGAGACAGCCTGGACAATTCCTATTGGCTTTTGAAAGCCAATAGAACTAGACTCTATTCAAGAGAGTCTATTCTATTGGCTTTCAAAAGCCAATAGAATAAAAGGGAGTAGCACAGCTAAGGAAAAGGGGGAAAAAATGGCGGACTGCGTTGTTTGGCGACCCCCGTGAAATGGTCGTTCGACCCCAAATGGGATCCCGATCCACAGGTTGAGAACCACTGCTCTAGAAAGAGTGCAGAATGGAGCAACAAAGATGATCAGGGGGCTGGAGGCTGAAACATATGAAGAACAGTTGCAGGAATTGAGTAAGTCTGGTTTAATATAGCGAAGGATTAGGGGTGACATGATAGCAGTGTTCCAAAATCTAAGGGGCTGCCACAAAGA